GTGTGTGTGTGTGTGTGTGTGTGTGTATATGCTTGATTTAATATATTTTTTAGAAATGTATAAAATATTACAAATATTTAATATAAAAATGCAATTCTGACTGATTTTACTTTAAATACAATGAACATAATAATATAAACATATTTTAAATATTAAAATCATTTGGGTGGTCTGAAGAAGAGTACTAGAAATTGAATATTTTATTCAATACATTATTTAAATAATTTAAATGACAGTTTTCCCCCAATTTTATCAACATTTTTGACTGTTTAAAAATTGTATTTTGTTATATTAAATAAATTTCCTTTAGGATCTATTGTGGACCGCAGAATCGTATGGTTGTAATGAGTTGTAATCTGTAATGGAAAAATAAATGACTTATTTATTTATTTTACCACGCTGTTGCATGGGAATGGCATGCAATTATTATCCTGGAAATAAAAACTGTTGCATTTTGATGAAAAAAAAAAAATTTTCCAGTGGGAGCAAATAAAGATACAAAATGAGACACAATAAATGCAAGGTCAAGCACACAGCACTGTGGGATTCAGTATTCTGCACAGCACACATCAGATACTACATACTGAAAATGCACATAACGACCCATGACATGAAAAATGTACATTTTTATTCACTTATATGTACATATTAAAAAATAGCACACTATGTGTAATGCTGAATAAACACTGCATGTAGCCATTTACACAACTTCACTGATACTCATTAATGCTCTTTGTGAGTTTATAGATGAAATCATGATTGAGCACCAGCACACACAAACCCCACTGCTCTTCCTGTCATGATCTTAAAGCTGATCTTGCTTTGTCCAAGATGTCTTTTCTGATGCGTGGATAGTTGGGATGTGCATCCAAAACCTGAGTATGAGGTTTAAAGAAATACACAAGAAAGAAGAAAAACTTGATCAAGTTTGCATCTGGCAATTCAGTAGCAAAACTCAAGAGCTGGAGTACAAATACATCTCATTAAAGGGTTTTTTGTTTGTTTTGGTCATTTAAATCTAATGTTAACTTTCTACTCACTCATTGATTTCACTTGTATGTTAAATTGTTAAATGTCTATATTGATGTTCAGATAGCAAACTGTTTATTTTTTATTTTTTCAGAATTTCAGTAACATTCCTTCTGGATCAACATTCAAATATGAGCAGAAAAACTGATTTTGTCCAAACCCGTTTTCATTTTTGATTTACGCTCATTTGGCTCTATTTCGACAATCCATGCGCAAAGCACAGGGTGCAAACGCTTTCAGGGCGTGTCAGAATCCGTTTTTGCTAACTTAAGGACGGAAAAATCTGCTTTGCGCCGCGGCGCATGGTCTAGAAGGGTTGAGTTTATTTTCTTAATGACTTATAGGTGTGTTTTGAGAATAAACCAATCAGAGTCTTATCTCCCATTCCCTTTAAGAGCCAGCTGTGTCGCGCCATGGCACATTTGCTATTTACATGACGTAAAGTAAGTGTAAGTGGAAAAACTGAGCATTTCACAAGCAAGAAAACAGTTAAACAGAGCATCTATAGCGCGAGAATGAGAGATAAATTATTCATTTGCACTTTCGTTCTTGGATTGGGAAACCTTTATGCACAGACATCAATTAGCTTATAAATAATTAATTTCATTTGTTAAGCACAAAGATTTGTTTCAAAACTATTTCTAAATTCAGTTCTAATTTCCAGCAAACGAATAAATCAACAATAATAACAAAGTGTGTTCAAAAACCTATCTACCCCAACTTATATTTTGATACACATGCTGTGCCCCATATGGTCTAAAACTTGACAGGTGGGCAAATCTAAGCTTGTTTTTAATAAAACAAATATAAATATGGATATAATAAATAATACTGCTAATAATAAAAACATTATACAAAAGCAAATTAAATGAACTGAAAAAGCCTCCTGAGGCATAAAGGCAGTGGTTTTTCATATTTATGTAGGCTAGAAAATAATATGTTTTGTAATATTTTAATCCTTTATATTTATACCCTAATTATATCCTATATATATCCTTAATATTTTAATTCTTTTTCATATGTAAAGATATTTGCGTATTGCTTTACATCTTGTGTGTATTAAGCAGTGTGTGCAACTCTGCGCTGGACTTAGACTGGCTTTGTTTTGGACACAATGTCAATATTTTGATTTACGCGCATTATTTTTCTATCTGTGACCGCGTTACTTTAGGTGGGAATTTGATCCCATATAAATCCAATAAATATTATTTTTCAGCGTTCCCGGTTGCCAGATTGACAACACCAACAGTGCACATAACACAAGACAGAAATACGTTTGTACGTTTTTCATTTTTGCTAATAACAAATTAACAAAATACTATCTGCTAAAACAATGTAGCAATAAAAAGATGCAATTTAATAACTAATATTTACCATATTTTGTTAATTAAAAAATTAAGTCACACAGATGTCATCATTGGATTATCTGTATATTGACATTTTAATAGCCCTGATTATAACTACCAAAAATTAGTATTCCTTTTTTATTATGTTTTATTATTTTAATATTTTTTTATTTAATTTTGTATTTTATTATTTTTAGAAAATGCAGATTTTTAAATAATAATAATATTAATTGTTAGAGCTTTTCGCATTTAGAAATGGTGAAATCCGGATTTGCTGCTCGTCTTCTTTTTAAAAAGACGCATTTTGTGACAGCATAGTCTGTCAGGATACTCTTCTGATGCTATCTACCGAGTGCATCTAAGGGCCTACTCGCACTATGCTATCCGAACCGTGCCCAGGCTTGTTTCCCGGGAAAAATTTAAAAAAGAAAAAAAATTTCAAAAGGGGGCTAATAATTCAGACTTCAACTGTAAATGAAGTTTAGCTCAAGGTATTTTTGTCTAAAAAGATATGTAAAAATGTGATTGACATGGAAACATGCTTTTACTTCTGTAATATGACTGCTTGTCTCAGTATAGTATTTATTTAATAAGATATATTTATATTTGCCGCCGTTATTCTTTTATACTCACTTTATGGCACACATCTATAGCATCCACGTGTCTTTTGGCCTTCAGGTAGTTGAAGGCAAGCTTGTAGCCTGGTAAACAAAGATGACGCAGTGAGTGTTAGTGAGTGATGTGATTGTAAACACACATGAGGATGGTTCAGAGCAGCTGTAATCTCACCGATCGTAGGGTTGGTTTGATTGCTGTACTTCCAGGCCATTTCATAATTCATAGCAGCATCTCTGAAAGACTGCTCTTTCTCCATAATGTAGCCCATGTACTCATACGCCTTACAGCAGGACTAGTGTTGAACATGTTAAAACATCAGCATAGCACAGTTGACAAAAAGGACTTTAGACAACATGAACTGAGCATTTAACAAAGTAATTATTAATCCAAATGTAATTTTGCTAATAACAAAATACCATCTGCTAAAACAATGTAGCAATAAAAAGATGCAATTTAATAACTAATATTTACCATATTTTGTCAATTAAAAAATTAAGTCACACAGATGTCATCATTGGATTATCTGTATATTGACATTTTAATAGCCCTGATTATAACTACCAAAAAATAGTATTCCTTTTTAATTATTTTTAATTATTTTAATATTTTTATTTAATTTTGTATTTTATTATTTTTACAAAATGCAGATTTTTAAATAATAATAATAATAATAATAATTATTATTATTATTATTATAAATATTGTAAATGAAAATAATGATATACATTATTATAATTAATAATAATAACTTTAATAATTATTAGAATAATAATTATGTAATTATTATTTAATTATTA